AAGTATCGTAGTTTCACTTTCAGTAAGTCGATCAATCAATCAAGACCTTTTTAAATTGTTACGGAAAGATGGCGACTCCCATTCGAAATGCGTTCAGTCCTGACCTTCTGAAAAGCAGGCATACCAGTTCAGCCTACGAAATACGATTGCTGGTAACCTTTTGTCTGTTGTTGATTTCTAACTTACAGTAGATCAATAACCTTATTACATTTTTATCAGTATTTATAGATCTTAAAAACATATATTTCTGAATTTTAGTTTCTTACTAACACCGAAAATGTAAAAGAGACATAATTAACATCTATAAATTTTAGTGTACTGAACTAACATACATTTTATAATGTTATGAATAATAATAATAATAATATACCTTGAGAATAACCTCATAATCCTCATAACCTCATAACAATATACCTTATAATGCAGTATAATGTAACGTAAATTTTACTGTTATTTTACCACTATGAAAAATTCCAAAATTACAATGAATCTTAAGTTAGTTATTAAATATTAACTAATTTTTTGAAGCCGCACATAAGTAACATTTTATTGTATTTAAAAGTGCGGTTGGAAATATATACGTAGGTAATTTGCAGTCATATTAAGCATGAAAATTTTTATCAATCAATTAAAAAAGAAGTAATTATCGTGTAACTGCAAAGTTTTTCTCCCTCCTTATCGGGTCCCTTCTTGGTGTAATTAAAAGAAAGTGCGGCTGACAATTGGAAAGTCCGAAGTCCTGGTATGGGAACTGCGGATTTTGCCATTTACTGTGTTCGAAAGTTCTCTATAAGTGGTGCTCGAATTAAAAAGTGGTGGATGATAATTCGTCACCACCAGGGTTGGCGATTGGGTTCAAGCCTGCCGAGTCACCCTTCCAAGTTCCAAGTAGTGAAAGAATGTAAAGTTTTATTTCCCTCCTTTACTCATGCCTTCCTGGTGTAAATGGATATCACGTCCAGCCAGCAATCGGAAGGTCCAGAGTTAACCGGTGACTGATTCCAGTTTTGGTGTTTCAACAGCATTTACCTCCTGTTATTGCTCAATGATTTCAGTCTTTATATATAAGTCGAGAAGCAAGAGTTGAACATTTTGGAAAAGAAGTCCTGTTATGCAATTTGTAACTAGAAAAGATCTTCTTCGGTCCTTTGAAAAAGGAAAGTGCCGTACCAGGAATTTTATGCTGTGAACAACACATTTTTATCAGGACACCTTTAACATAGTTCACCAACAGGCAATTGCTTCAAAAATGATTTTTTGAATTTGAATTACTTCATTGTGACAAAACACACTAGTCAAAAAACTACCTGTCTCAAGAGAAGAGCGTCTTGGGGGAAGAGTTTTTAGAAACAGTGGCTCGTATTCGTCCTACATAGAGGAAAAACAACGAAAACTTCCATACAACGAGCCTCTTCGATGAGATTTTAGTCCCGGTCCCACTACCAGTGTTCAGAGTCTTACCAGTTTGGCCACTGGTGGGCCTCATTAATCCCGACGGCAGATTTTTCTAAATGAATTAAAGCTTATAAATTAAAGTATCATATAATTCCGAATGGAAATATTTTAATAACCCATTGTAGATTTTTAATAACATTGAACAACATAATTTCACTTTTTTTCTTTTGACATTAAACCATCTTTAATGGCGTCTCTCAAAACATTTTGAATTGCTGTGTTATATCACACTTCACCTTCCTTGCATTTATTACCCACGCGGCTTGGCAAGTGTTACAGTTGCGCAAATCATAAGAACTCTATATTCCACTTGCGACCTGGCAAACGGTCTGTCTCAGAGCATTGCAAATTAATGTTTACAATGAAATCTAAGCAGGTCCATCACAGACCGAGCGGTAAAGTGCATACTGAATACTGGCAGTTCGGCCCGAGGTTCGAATCCCGGGCAAATGGACGTTTTCGTGGTTTTCCCATGTGTAACATGAATACGAGACAGTTTCAGTTAGAAAGTCCTCTATGAAGGCAGCCTTTTCCTTAGGCAGATAATAAATAATTAGGAAGATAAATTAAATACACCATACCAAATCTAAACAGAGAAAGTGAGTGATAATTTTTGAACTTGATATGCATGGGAATCTGACAATCCTAAAATCACGTTTTGGAAAACACATGGACATTGCCTCATGTTTCACATTAATTAGGCAAATGTTGGTATAGTATTCATAATCATAATTATAATAGCAGTAATTCAAAATCTAGACCAGTGTGTTGCGAGATTATAGGCGTTCAGTTTGTGTTCAAGCTAAAATAGTTTCGAATTTTTTTAAAACTATTAATTAACTTAAAATAAAATACCTTTCCGGCTCATTGTATAGATAACAAACATAATTCATAGTAAAGTCAATAATGAAGCCTCGTTATATTTCTTAAGCGAAGAAAAAGTAAAGAAGAAAAGATAATGATTTAAGATTTCTAAATACATATATCACGTTGCTTAAATTTAAGTGTTTCTTTTCTTTTATATAATCCAGACATTGATTTCAGACGCGCAATTAATAACAAACCCTTGAAATTATCACAGGCTAATATGCAAGATTCATCACGCAAAGCGCAATTCTTTGTCCTCTCTTCTCGATTCTGGACGATTGTCACCTGGTCACAAACGGAAGTTGTCTTTTTTTAATATTTTTATTCACTCTTCCTTTCTTTTCCGTCAAAAAAGTTTTTCTCGGATTGCTAGCGGCAACAAGGATAAAATATAATAACCGATTTTATCACTATTTCTTTTCTTTTTTTTATGCAGCTTGTGCTAAAGGACACCATCTGCTTTGCGGTTTGTATGATGAATCAAGGCAAAAATGAAGTTCTTCGGTGTCTGCCTTGAAAGAATAGATGTGTACAATAGGTCACGTGCTTGTCAATGACCATATGCGAGAAAGTAATTATATCAGGATTTACCGTGCGTAGCGGAAAATTGCGATTGCATCGTCTTAAAGCATGTCCACCGCATCTAAATAATAGCAAATATGAGAGAAATTTGCAATACAGGTTTCGTAACTTAAATTGCTGAAATATAACAAGGAAATGATAAATAAATCTTTCTCTTCAAGAGAATAGTAGTAAAATCCCTATTATATGACCGTTTGTTATACTGTAGGGCAGGGGTTCCCAACCCTATGCCCGCAAGCACTGTGGCGCTCGCTGATCATTTAACGTCTGCTCGCCTCTGTACGATTACAATAAAAATGTTATAGTTTTCTATGTGAAAGTTTTCTCATTTTTAATGAAGTAGAAATTGCGTTTAACACAGATACCAGCACAAAGCAAAATGCGACCGATCTCTTTTTTTTTTTATGTGCATGTTCTATTCTCTAGTAACTGTATTAAATTATAAACTAGCCTTGAAAAAGCAAACGGTGCTCACCGTCTAGCAGATGTTCTAGAATGTGCTCTTAGACTGCGTTCAGACGGCGGCGTAAGGGGCATTGAGGAGTAGTCATAAGGGCATAAAATACGGGAATTCCGTTCACACTTGCAAGAACGGAGTGTAAGCCGTGGCCAATGGGAGAAGCTAAATTTGCGCATGCGTGGATGTGTCTACAACTTTCTCCTGCTCGATTGATTTTCCACGTTCGCTCTGCTTGTTTTGTAACAGCGAAATCTTCAGTAGAACGCCGCTTCGTTTTAGCTTCGCTCTGATTGGTCGACGATTATCCCAAACTCGGCGTAAAGTTCAAAACTTTTAACCCTATGCCACGAGCCCTAAACGAGATTTTGTGACGTAGCACAGATTGGTTGCCTTGGCAACGGAGCTTGACTTTAACCACTTATGCCCTTTACGCCCTCGTCTGAACGAAACTTTAGGAACAAAAAGGTTTAGGACCTCTGCTGTAGGATTTACTTTAATTTTCTAATATTTATTCTTATATTGGAACAAGCCTTTCTTATAAATTATGAATTCCCACCTACATTTCCCTAGCAAAATGAGCTTTCAGGATTACGATTTATGCAAATGAGGTAGAAAAGAGTTGAGTTGAGTTGAGAGCAGAATCTGGACACCCGTGCGGCTTACTAAGACTATTCGGGTCTAGTCCAGGTTCCACAACTATCCGGGGCAACACCTCATGGGGCCTATAAGGGCATACATTGGTTCTAAGATGACGTGTCATTCACGCAGCCTGAAGTCTGCGCTGTTTTGCGAAATCTACCGAGAAACGAAGCCCCAGGGCCCGATTCGTTAAACTACAACATTGTCAAGGCGATGCATCAGGCAAAACCAACGTTTCTTAAAAATTGTTACAATAAATTGCTTCAACTGCGTTATTTTCCCAAGCCCTTTAAGACAGAGCAAGTTATTCTTTTCCAAAAGAGGTAGAAAAGAGTATTTAAGCTGAAGGTCTGGGTCATTTTAGTAGAAGAGCGTCGTCTACCTTTCGGCCACGTTGTTGCTGCTAGTCTAAGCTACGGCCGTACTTCTATGAGCCTGCTAGTATACGCCGGTGATCAACAAATAAAAAACATCTCCGTAAGTTGATTCTGTGCAGCTTCGGCTGGTTAATTTTATTTAGCATTAAATTAGTTTTTTATTTTCTATCTTAAACCCAAGTGGAGGGTTGTTGTACGCCCGAAAAGGGGCCATCTGTTCATTATTATGGGTAATTTAACCCTTCTTTGGACCTACAAGAACTCATCGAATAGTCGCGACACAGTTCTTTAGTATTCTAGCTTTCAACGAACTCTAGTTTAGCTAGGATTTTACAATACAACATTTCTTTTTATCTCCACGAAAACCTGTAATTTCATACTAAAAATTATCACCACTACTACTATTACTATACAGTGTGTTTCGTATACGATTTATTGTCCATATTACAATGAAAGTTAGTCACAATCATAAGAATAGCTATTTATGTACTCCAAGATCACTACAGTCGTCTATACGTAATAGTTATTCACGATAGTTTTGTGATCGTTACGGAGTTAAATACAGACATACATTATCCCACATATTTCCAAGAGATAATTGCCAATCTTTTGAAATTACGTCAGGATTTCAAGGAAATATTATGAAACATAATAAAAAAATTTGACATTTTACCTGTGTGCAGGAAGAGGTGGTTCCTCAAATTTGTTTGTTTGCTGAACCCTCTGTTGCATATATGACACTTGTAAGGCCAAGAACCGTTATGGACATACATGTGGCTCTTTAGATCACCAGGAGTAGGAAACGATTTAGAACATAAATTGCATTTGTGAGGCTTTTCCTACAAAATAAAATCAAATTCATTAGCGAATCTTTTAATTATTAAGAAATAAAACATGATTTCTTTGTCCATATTTTACAGTATAATAATCATTATTTTAAATTTTTAAGCTTCATTGTAAAAATAAAACTACGTAATTTGAAAAATCTGGAAAATATAGCAAATCAATGCTCGAGTTTTCCATATTTATTGCGAATTACTTACAAAAATTAATAAATAATGTTCCGAAAAAATTTATAATTATATCCGAAACAAATAAAATTTTTCCGTTTTATTTTAAAATAATTAGTCTGTGCAATTCAAGGTTCTGTAATAATATCCTCAGCTTTCATTGAATTGGTTAAGTTCACTAATAAATAAATTGGTTAAGTTCACTTCAACATGGCTCATTAACTATATCGAATTTTTTTTCTGCTTATCATAATACAACCAAAAATTATTTTAAGAACATATTACAATTACAACAACAAGAACGTTCTACAGAAGATTTCGCTGTTACAAAACAAGCAGAGTGAACGTGGAAAATCAATCGAGCAGGAGAACAGCGAGGGAAAGTTGTAGACACATCCACGCATGCGCAAATTTAGCTTCTCCATTGGCCACGGCTTACCACCCGTTCTCGCAAGTGTGAACGGAATTCCCGTATTTTATGCTCTTATGAGTTAAGAACATATTACAATTACAACATATTACTTTATCATTTAAGTGAACAGAATTTCGAATCTACGTTACTCTTACTTCCTTTTCTCATCATTTTTATACATCTACTATTTCCCTTCGTTTCTTTCAGTTTCCCATTGCATATATGAATGAATATACACACAGATTCTTCATTATTTAAAAAAGAATAGTTTTATTTTATTACGGTGTTTGAGCTTAAATATTGTTTCATGCTTCTGTTATGTACTCAATTACCAACTTTAAAAATATATTTTTTATTTTCATTTTCTAATATTCAATTTTGATATTATTAGCTTTTAGTTCTCGCTGATAATTTTACAGCATTTTGACCAAATTGCAAATTATCTTTGATAAAGCCATGTATATGTTACAGTGAAAGACCGAAATTGGAGAATGTCGACTTTCACCGGAGAATGTCAACATTCACCAAATACGTCGGTGAAAGATCGAATATTTCTTTACATTCTTGTACATTCGGACCCTTACCGGTGTATGTCGACAAACATAATATACTATGGTGTAGGTCGAAAAGAGAGGAGTATATGTACACGCTGTCATTCCAAAAGGAAGTGTTCCACAAATAAATGCAGTTGTAAAATCAAGGGCTCTTGTGCAATTCAGAGTGTCATAATAGTTTAAGTTGTTGCAATAAATAAGAATCACATAATTTGGTAAGTTTATAACTTCTATTATTTTTCTTTCTTATTTTGAATGTACTGTGTGTTTTAAGTTCTTATTCTGAGTCTCAAGTGCGTTTTTTCGGGAAATAAATTACGGAGAAGGAAATATAATATTCTTATATGTTCAACATTCACCATTAGTACATGGTGAATGTCGACATTCACCGGTGTAATTCAGAAATAAGAGTATTTGGAAAATATTTCGGACATACACCAAGCGACTATGTGAATGTTGACATTCACCGGTGAAAGTCGACATTCTCCAGATTTCGGTGTTTCACCGTAACATATATAAAATGTGCTCTTTTTAACGTCCGTCTATCTGAATGTACCAACTCATAGCTTTTAATATTTTGATGTATCTAAAAATTCTAAGTTTTAATTTCAAGTCTTGAAACAATGCAGATCCAGTTTTTGTATCAATAATACCATTATCATTAGCAAACTAAGGTAATGTTCAATTGCAGATGGAAATATCAGGCAAATCGCAGATTTTTGAAGTGGTCAAAACTTTCAGTCAAACTGGACTTACAAGATGATGAAAAACTAAACTCTAAGAACAAACAGCTGGATTCAAATAAACGATAATTTCCTTGTATTTTCTGTCTAATAAATAAAGCTATTTGATTCAATAATTATTTAGTATTAACTGAAAGTACATAAAATGAACGCTGAATGTTGCCTATATCCTTTGCATCGGTATAAAAAAAATGATGGTTTCCGTTATTAAAACGCAATTAAAAGCATCCAGGAACAAAATAATGCATTCAATATTTATGCCTTTCCTCTAGCTTTTAGAAGTTTCCGCCACACACTAAAAATTTTAAAAAAAAATGTTCAACTTTTATAAGCGATTTGCATTCAGTATGCTGAACCATACTAAATATTTGAATGCCGTATATTAACAATACTAAACTATATAAATTGCGCATATTAACTGTACTAAACACTATGAATGCCGCATAATACGTGCGCCGAAACCAAAGCACCAATCTTTAGCAATCCTCTTCAATCAAGGTAAGATTACAGCTGCAGCGTATCTCAGCTAATTGCTTCTCTTCCTGACTGCTAATCTCGCCCTTAAGGATCCTAATCAAGTGCCCCGTCTCTCAACATGAATTTTCAATCTTCCGGTATGATCTTGATGAAACTCGGTGCACTTTTTACTCTTAGCTTCGTCAACTCCTTTCTCCGCACCCATGGCTTCAGGCATAACTTCCATAATATTGTACAAAACACTCACGTGTTTTGTACTTCTCTTCTCAGACACCACACCTCAAATTAAGAGGCTATAATACCCTCGTATTTGGATTATGCCCCATCCTCTCTACCTCTATTGCTTGTGCCATCTCGGTAATGTTCATTTCTGGGGTTGTTGAACTACACACCCAGATATTTCTCCTTTTTTCTTTCTCCTTCACACTACATTATTAACATTTACTTAGAGACAACGCTTTGTCTGGATATTATGCTATCCACAAAAGCCTTTTTAAAATCTCACTCTTTCACAACCAGGAAATTCATATAGACTGGCATATAAAACAAAGTCAGAGTAGGATTTAACATTTTAGATTTTGTTTGTTTATTTTGAACAAAATACTTTCTAATTTAATTATTAATGTTAAAAAAGCTTACTTTTCGTAATTTTCAAGGAAAGCTATTTCACGTAACTGAATGTTTTGTTATGAATGGCTTTTTATTTTTGTAAAAGCAGCCCTCGTGTTGATTTTTACACGTTTCGCTTCTTTAATAATAGCTCTAATTTACGCAATTTATTGCACATCTAATTTATATGATTTGCAAGGTTTCACTATGAAGTTTTAGCTCCTATTCTTTTGATATTTATGAAGAAAACTATTTTAAAAGCCTCAGAATGTAATGGTGATCTTTCTCCTTTTAGGACGTAAAAAAACTCAGAAAACTGGATATCTATCCAGTTTGGGAGGCTGGTAACCATGTAGAGACATTAGGTATTTTGGAGCGGGAGACATGAGAAATGAGCAACGCCCCCGCCGGGACTCGAACAACTGACCTCTCGAATACGCGTTGAGCGTGCTGACCACTACACCACGAAGGTAAGAAATCGAGAGAAGTACCTTATATACTCCCCCTTTTAAAGGGCGACTGGGGTTTTAGGGTACCCAATCGCCAAATCCTGGTGCTGAAGAATCATCATTCACCACCTTTTAGTTCGGGAGCCACTGTGGAGATATTAGGTTACTTCAAGACAGGAGAGATGAAAAATGGGAAACCCCTTCGCCGGGACTCGAACCTCGCACCTCTCGAATACGCGCCAAGCGTGCTGACAACTACACTACGAAGGCATGCTAAGAAGACGGAAGAAATACCTTATCACCAAGCGAATCTTTCTTCCCAGTGTCATGGAACAAGAGAATGAATATCGAAACCTATTACCATAGAGATCTACAACACAGTCAAAGCTGTTTACTATGGTTCTATCTCGTGAACATGTGTTTGAAAAATTACTCGATTTCGAGACGCAAAGGAAAACATTATGTCTGATCGCTATCTAAATCATCATAAAGAACTCGTGGAGAAATTCAACTGTGCCTTCAGTCAGAAAGTTCTCGATCTTCTGATAACGTATCTCGATCTTCTGATAACGTATCTCGATCTTCTGATTCATCGTATGAAATCAAGTCTGTGACAATGTGACATTTAGTTGCTCCTGAATGGCATCACATAGGTACTCTCAGCACTCCCTGTTACACAGTTCTTAGGCAAGCGCTGGGTCTCCAGAGTCAAATAGACTCAGACCTGGATGTGTTTCTGTTTTTAAAACGATAATCAGTATTGATGGACATTATTTCATAAATTTTCAGGACATCGTGAAAACTGTTACTGTTAAATTTAATATCAATCGATTATTTGTCAACTTAACATTAGTCTTAATTTGTTAAACTGCCGAACAGACGGTACAGTGGTTAGCAGATGCGGTACAGAAGTGCCCGGGTTCGGATCCCGGAGAAGGCACAGATGTTTACAAATGTATAGTGTCTTTGCGGCATGAGGCACTTTAAATATATGGCGAGCTAAAAGTCCTCTCGAGAGGTTGCTGGTATTGGAAGAGGGGTGGGAGACCCTCGGACCCGTCCCTCCAGGGTGTTCTCCATCAATCTGGGGGTGGAGCTGAGCCAAGTCGTACTGTCAGCTGAATGCTGCTCAAGGCTTTTGCCAACGCAAGCACAATCTTGTTCTCCTTACCCCGATGAATTTTGTGGGCTTGATCTGATGTTACTGTCAGGCAAGTGAGATAAGTCACAACAACACAACATTTGTTAAAATTAATATTAGTCTATTATGGTCAAATCAGTTTTGAATGTTTGTCTAAGTGGTGACATTTATTCATCTATAAGAAGAGGGAATGTTTGAATATTCAGGATTATAATTTGCTTCAATGTCTTTAATTTTCTTTATACCAGGAGCCATCACCATCATTGCCATATTATACTTAGGAAGTAATTTTTATAAATAATTGCCACGTACTTCGACACAAACACACGCACATATATAAATATCACACATCCTAACATATGATACTCATATTACTTTTTTTCATAGCCTTTTACACCTACAGTGTGTTACAATTTCTTTATTTTATTTAGAAATTCTTGATTA